AATTTTAAAATATAAATTAATTTCAATTGAAATTTTCAATTGAAAAATAAATTCAAGAATATTTGTTATTAAACTTTTCTTAAACAATGTATTGAATAGTTAACATCACTCTAGTCTTAATTTATTACAATTTAAATTTTTAATAAATTTGATTTATTATAATTCATTTTGTTAATATTGAGACCAAAGTTTATTTTTAAAGTATATTTTAAAAATTAAATTATTTTTAAAAACTAAATTACTTTTAAAAAATAAATTGTAAAAAATATACTAAAACAATTAAAGTATATTTATAAAAAAAATTTAAATATAATAAAAAAATAATATTCATTAGCGACCGATTTCAATTCGGTCGCTATTTTCTCATTAGCGATCGATTATAATTCGGTCACTATTTCAATTTGTAATTCGGTCGCTAAATCAGTCGCTAAATGATTTTTTTATTTTAGTGTGGAATAGCCACTGATTTAGCGATCGAAATTTTGCGACGCAAATTATTGGTCGCTATTTCGATCGCTAAATAACAAAATGAAAACCAATTCATATTTTGGTCGCTAAATCGGTCGCTAATTGCGACCGAATTAAAGTGGTCGCTGAATCGATCGCTAATTGTGACCGAATTAAAGTGGTCGCTAAATCGGTTGCTATTTGCGACCAAAATTAAATCGGTCGCTAAATCGGTCGCTATTTGCGACCGAAAAAATTCGGTCGCTAATTTCGGTGGCTAAATGTCATTTTTCTTGTAGTGTTTATAAAATTTATTATTATCGTGAGAAAATCTAAATTTGATAAATTCTTGAAATTTATAATGTCCTTACGAGAATATCAGCATCTGTTTAAATACATAACTTATTATGAGATGATTTTGAAATTTATTGATTATCATGTGTTATAATAATTTTATAAATTTACAAATTGTCAGGTTCACTTTCCTATATAAATATTATTTAAAGTAAAACTTTACATCCCTGTTTATTGTTGTAATTAATATTCATTAAAAAAAACTTTATAATACTAAAATAATGTCAATATATAATCTCCTAACAGTGTAAAAATAATTAAAAATCGCAAACCAATAAAACATTTTTTTACATAAAAAATACGTAATCATGATTACAAATACGTAAAAAGTAATGTAAATATATTGTCGAATCAAATAAATATTTTTATAAATATCTATTTTTAAATGAAGAATTAGTTTCATATTTTATATAATTTTATTTTATTTAATCTGTAAAAAAATATTTTAGAATTTTAAGTAATGTAACTCATTCTAACTAAGGATTTGAACCAAGGAGGTTCCTTTGCCCTCTTTTTTTCTTTTTTTTTCAACTGGAGAACGAATAATTAATTCCATTATGCTTTTTGAAGAGAGTTCTATTTTGTTTTTCTTTTTAAAAGATGAAATGAATGGTATTATTTAAATTCATATTATACTATAAAATATGAATATTTTAAAAAAAATTCTTCCTTAAAAATTAGGTTTAAAGATAAAATATATTGTTTTATAGTAAAAAACCACATTAATTGCCATATATAACATATTTAACAAAAATATATCAAAATTTATATTGATGTTTATAAAAATAAATAAATGCAAACACATCCAATTTTTTTAAAGATAGTAAAATATGAACTATTATAATAGTAGTTAAATTATGGAGAATGTAAAAAAAATATCTTATATTCAATAAAACTTTAAGAAGTTTGATTTATTAATATATTTTTTAAAAGTAAAAGTTTTTTTCTATTAATATATGTTCAATCAATGAAGCATAAATTTTTTTAAAAATACTAATTTTTTCTCTTAATAAATCTATTGAAGTGCTATAGGATAAATATCTTAATTAATAATTCTATTAACTTCTAAATATTGTTACAATTCAAAATTTCTTTCCATCATTATCGTTAAAACATAAAGACTTGAATATTATATCAAATTCTTATTATTTTATAAAAAAATTAAATAATGAATTTACTTTATTTTCTTATTTCAAGTTATTTTTATACCATCATTAATATAAATAAAAAATAAGAGAGATTAACTTAAATTTTGAATTTTATATAAATCCCATATTTGATATATGATAAGACTTTCATTTAAAATTAATAAATTTTATAACTATTTTCAAGTTCATCAAGACCAAAATGAAAACTAAAAATATCTTATTTTTCTAAATAAATCAGAAAATAACTTTTTTAAATACCAGAATAAGAGTTTTTTTCCCTTCTTATCAAGAAACTCTTTGCTGTGTTATGTTAGGTCTTAACAAGAAACTGATAGACGCATAAACATATAGTTTTGTTATATATTTTATGTATATTTTTGGGCTCCATAGTGGTTAGCATTTTTGACCTTTGAAATGAAGTACATTAATTACAAACTTTAAATTGTTGTTTGAAGTGAATACATGGAATAATATTATTTTACCATCTCACATTCAAATAATTAATTTACTCGTACCTAATTGATTTTGATTATTTATTTTAATGTATTATTTTATTCTTCTGGTAAAGGTGTGGTGTGGACGGCATGAATAATATTTGGAATATGGAGTTTGTGCAGAAATGCAAAAAGACTTCACACCCGATTTTCAGCGAACTCATGTGGTATAGTCTAAATTATATTACATTATTCAGAATACAGATGCAAGGGAATCCAAAATTAAAATAATAATAATAATAATAATAATTTATCAATAACAATTTTCCCTCGTGGGTCATCATCAATATTAAACATACAAAATGTTTATTAAATTAATGACACCACAACATGCTTTATTTTTCAATTAAAATTTTAATAATTTTATTTGTATGTATTTTTATCAATCCAATTTCATCAACAACACGTTTATTTAGTTTTATTTTTATTTTTAAAAAATGGGTTCTTCCTCTAATCCTTCTATAAAACATTTTCAGACAAGCAAATTTTATGTTTTCAAAAGTCCAAATATAATTATTAATCACTTTCTTTTCCTCTAAATTTTTAACACCTCGTGCACTTTGAACAAATATTCTGAAATACAAATTGAAAGCTACATCAACATGCTTCAAAAGAAAAAAAATTACCATGAAAAAAAGGCTTTTAAATCCTTTACAAAGTCCTCTATTTATTTCTAAAATAATATTTTATATTTTTTTATAATCATTTCAAAAATATTTTTTATTTTCTTTGCAAAAAATATTTTGCAGGAAATATTACTTATATGTATTAAAATGCTATTAAATATTTCTTGTAAGTTTTTATTCATAAAAATATTTACAGGATATCATTTTAAATTCCTACAAATTTTCTTCTGAATTTAATTTAAAACAAAAATCTAAACATAATTAACGTAATCATAATAAATTTGCAGAATTTTTTACAATTGATTTTCATAAATAAGTTCTCAAGGAGTTTTTGTGAAAATAAAAAATTACAACAAAATTGACAACTATTTGTCACACAAAATTTTTTTTAGAAAATTTTGCAGTTATTACTTACACATATTTTTTTAAAAACAAATTTTTGTAGAAATTTTGTAATTTTCTATAGTAATAACAATGATCACAACAAAAAATTTCGAAAAAAATTAAAAAAAACCATTTTAATAAGTGTACGATGATAAAAACCAATGATATAATAAAATTATTAATAAAACCATAAATATTATTAACGAAAATAGAAAATACATTTTTATCTATTTTAATTTTAAAAAAGGACTTCTAAAAATAATTAACAAAAATTTAATGTCTTTTTAGAAATTTTAATATTTTTTATACTAATAAAATATTTGTATTATTTGCATATAATGGATCAGAGGGTAATTTATTATTAATAAAAAACATTTTTAATTCAAATATTCAACAAATTTTATTATAATTTATTCAGTTTGTTTACTAATTGAGTACTTTTTATACCTATAAATTTATTCTGATTGTTATTTATGTCAAATAATTAAGTACTTTTTTCACATATAAATAAAATATATCATTGATATGTGAGATTATTTTCTTACTCAAATGTATACTTATTCTTTTATATTTATATATTATATTTACTTAATTATCGAAGAATATTTATAAACATTTTTTATTATTTTAATGACTACAACTCAACCAACAAAGGTGGAAGACCAACTAAAAATATTCAATGTCTTTTATGGTATTTTTTTAATATTTTTAATTTATAGATAAATAATATTAATAAAAAAATAGTATTTTTTTAATTTTTTAATATAATATACAAAATATTATTAATAAAAAATAAAATAACACACATAAATCTAACAAAATAGAATTCACTTAAAAGTGTTATAAATAATAATTTATAATAAAAATAAATCATGTATGAAACAAAATGTATAATATATCATATTTAAGTTGAATAATAATAAATAAAATCTATTAACAATTTAAGTCTTTTAAACATATAGGCAATAACAAAATTATCATTGAACCCTTCATTCTACCAATTTTCCAGTTCCATTGGTTCTATCCAATTCATATTGCATTTATTTTTTTCTGAATAATTTAATTTCATTACATGACATAAAGAAAGTCAACCTAGAAATGAAAAAAAAAAAAATTAACGACACCTGCGGAAATGAAAAAGTAAAATAATGGTTTTGTTTTTATTTTTGTATAGTTAAACTTAATGTTCCACATGAGTTATATAGAGCAGAAAATAAGTTTATTGGCTTAATTGAGCACGAGATGGCATAGTAATAAACAATTGAAAATTGATACTTCAAAACTTATATTTCATATAATTCCTATAAATAACTCTTTTTTAATATTATAATAATAATTTTATTTTATTTTTATTTTTATTAAATCAATCTATATTTTTATAATAAAAGTAAGTGGTTTGAAGTTTTCTCAAAATATCACCACTCAAACAATTTACGTGTGGTTTAAATAATTGGCTAAAAGAAAGGGATAGAGTAGGAGGCAGCGTGTATTTAAGGGCTTAAGGGAGACCTTCCATTGCACACACCAAGCTAGGTTTCATTCTCACCATGGCTTCCACCATGAAACTTGTGCTTTTCTCTGCTCTCATGTTCTTCTCCTTCCAAGCAGTGGTGTCTGACACCCCTCAGCATCCACTAAACCCTTTGACCTCAGAAGAGATAATTCGTGTCCGAAATACAGTGCAGGAGAAGTACCCAACCTCAAGCAACAGGTTGAGCTTCCACTACATTGGCCTCGATGACCCTGAGAAGGATATCATCCTCCAATGGGAGTCCACACCAAACACCACAACTGTCCCTCGCAAGGCCTTGGCCATTGCCATCATCAACAGCCAAACCCACGAGATCGTAATTGATCTCCAGAAAGAGAATGCCATTATTCTCTCAGACAACATTCACAGAGGAAATGGATTCCCCACCCTTTCCGTGGCTGAACAAGACAATGCCACAGCTCTGCCACTGACGTACGGTCCATTCATCGATTCAGTGAAGAAGAGAGGGTTGAACCTCTCAGAGGTGGTGTGCTCGGCTTTCACCTCGGGGTGGTTTGGAGAAGCCCAGAACAATAGGACTGTGAGGGTGGAATGCTTTATGAATGAAAGCAGCCCCAATATCTGGGTGAGGCCTATCAGTGGACTCACAATATTGGTTGATCTTGAGCTCATGACGATCGTTGAGTATGAAGACCGTGGTATTATACCGGTTGCAACCGCTAACAACACTGAATACCGCCTATCACACCAGAAACCACCATTCGGTCCAAAACAACACAGTCAAGCAACCCATCAACCAGATGGTCCTGGCTTCCAAATCAGTAACCACAGTGTTAGGTAAGTAATGCTCATCTATATCTTTATTTTTTTTTTAGTGATGATATTTTTACAGGACACAAAAACGCCATTCAACATCTCATATATTTTTATATTATTATTTATTTGTCTTATTTCATTTTCTCTCCGTCAATTAAAAAAATATATTTTAAGGTTATATATTAGATATTTGTTTTTTTTTTATCTATTACTATTTATCATTATTGTATATATATAGTATATTGTTTTGAGATTTTAATTTAATTAATTTGTTCAGCTGGGCCAACTGGAAGTTCCACATTGGATTCGATCCACGAGCCGGACTTGTGATATCACTGGCCTCCATTTACGATTTGGAGAAGCACAAGTCTCGCAGAGTGTTATACAAAGGGTACATTTCTGAGCTGTTCGTGCCATACCAAGACCCAACAGATGACTTTTACTACAAGACATTCTTTGATGCTGGAGAGTTTGGGTTCGGTCTCTCCACTGTCTCATTGGTTCCCAACCTTGATTGCCCATCCAATGCTGAATTCCTTGACGCATATGTTCACGATGCTTCTGGCACTCCCGTGCCCATTCCCAACGCAGTGTGTGTGTTTGAACAATATGGCAGCATCATGTGGCGTCACACCGAAACTGGAATTCCCAATGATTCGGTATATACACATACTCCTCCCTATCAGTACACATTAACAAGCCCATTCAGATAAATTTAAATATTTACTGTGTTGGCCTTTGACAGTTCGTAGAAACCAGAACGGAAGTGAACTTGATTGTAAGAACAATTGTTACTGTTGGCAACTACGACAACATTATTGACTGGAAGTTTAAGACAAGCGGCTCAATCATACCCGCGGTATGTATAATTATAGAAATAGAAATTATAAAGTTCAATTAAGTAAAAAAAAGTGGATATCATTGAACAAATTTAATCTAATCAACCATTGAACATACATGCATACGTTTATACAGATTGCCCTGTCGGGTATATTGGAAATAAAGGGAGTGGATATCAAGCACAAGGATGAGATAAAGAGTGATCAACATGGTACCCTGGTATCAGCAAACAGCATTGGTGTCTACCACGACCACTTCTACATATACTATCTTGACCTTGACGTTGATGGCGAACAAACTCGTTTGAGAAGACAAGTTTGAAGACTGTGAGAGTGACAGACGGAAGCTCCAAGAGGAAAAGCTATTGGACAACGGAGACTGAAACTGCTAAGAGCGAGAACGACGCAAAGATCATAATTGGGAACGCACCGGGTGAGCTTTCAGTGGTGAACCCTAACAAGAAGACCGCCGTCGGAAACGACGTGGGATACCGTTTGATTCCAGCAATCCCAGCTCATCCTCTTCTAACGGATGATGATTATCCACAAATACGTGGCGCTTTTACTAACTTTAATGTGTGGGTCACTCCATACAACAGGACTGAGAAGTGGGCTGGTGGACTCTACGTTGATCACAGCCATGGCGAAGATACTTTAGCCGTTTGGACCCAAAAGTATGATTCATTTTTCTTATTATTTTCTCTAAGTTTGTAGTTATATTTATGATTATTTTTAAGATATTGTGCATGATTGTGTCAACAACAGCTTATGCTATTCCTTTACATCAAATAATTGCAGGAACAGAGACATAGAGAACAAGGACATTGTGCTGTGGCACGTGACTGGAATTCATCACGTTCCAGCTCAGGAAGACTTCCCCATAATGCCATTGTTGAGCACTGCATTCGAGCTCAGGCCAACCAATTTCTTCGACAGAAATCCTGTTCTCAAAACCCTTTCTCCCAAGTTCGTTAAGTGGCCCGGTTGCCCTAATACAACCACTCATTAGCATTAGCATTAGCATGCTGCATACAGCATTGTTTGGATTTGGATATCTTGCACAAGAAATGAGTTCTCCATTGCATGTGCCAGAATAATGACTTTATATTGTATTCCCAGCAGTTATTTCCCTCTTTCATGAATAAGGAGTTTACTTCACCTCTACCTTGTACCCTCGTTTTGTTCTTCCTTAAATCCCAATGTAAATCAAAATTCTAAATTTGTTATTCTCAAATTTTCTCTACTTATTTTAATTCAGTATGTTCCAATTTATGAGACTTTAAAATAGCAAGCATGACAAACAAAATGCATGTTTATTTAGACTGAGAACCCACTTTTGTCAAATATCAATCTAACAACTTATTTTTATATTATTATTTATATATTTTACTTAAATTCTTTTCATCAATAAAAAAAATATTTTAGAATTATTTATGGGATATTTAAAAAAATTGGATGTAAAAAAATCTTTTCTCTTTTATTTATAATAAAATGAAGACTTTACAATTTGTTAAGTAAAAAATTAACAATTTGGGATTAGCATGACCTAGTGTTCATGCCAAGTGGCGGGGAGGCTATTACGGTATGGATCAGTTGGTATGAGTTTGTTTTCACCAACAAATTACAAGTAAATACACTAGACAAACTACGTTGCAGAAATTTGTAATTTTTAGAAAACCTATGTCACAGATAAAGAAAACCTAAATAGGGAAGAGAAAAGAAACTTATCACGATTACAATAAAGAAGTCGAACAGTAAATATATAAAAAATTATTATTATTATTATAATACATTTCCACACACACTGACTATCCTCATGTTATTATCTTCTTATTCAAAAACTGAAGGGATAGCATAAGTAAAAAATCCTTACTCTGACTCTCTAGTTATATTCGGAGTATGTAATTGTAAGTATCAAATAGGTTTAATTAAATTCATAACTATTAATCTTTTTGCCACACTTCATTATGAACCATACACAATTTCCAGTTTCGAGCAATATAGAGATGAAGGTGGATTGTCTTTTTTTTTTTCCTATTTATAGTGCTTTTGGAATCTTACTTGAAATATCGTATTTAAAACACCAACTTCTAGTTTTTATTTTTAACTATATATTATTTTTTCTGTTTAAAGTAAGACTTTATCATTTTTTACTCTAGTTTTTAATATTTATTGTCTTTTGTGTTTTAATAATTTACAATATTTTTTTCTATTTAAAGTATTATTTTATAATATTTATTTATTTCTTTTCTTTCACTCATAATGTATAATTTTATTAATTTTTATAAAATAAAAATTCATTTTTATAAAATAAAAATTCATTTTTATACCAATATATGACATATAAAATGTCCATAACAATAGAAAATAATTAGTTTTTTTATATTTTTATGTAATACTATTTATTTTAATCATTATACAATGTTCAATGTTTATAAATACTACAAAATATATTTTGTCTATAAAATTAGAATTTATCGAATATTTATAACTTTCAACTATCATTTATTGGCTTTTATGCGATTAAAGTTTCTCAATCTTCAACTAAGTAGCTAGTTTAAGTTTTTATATATATGAAAAAATAACTGAAAAAGGACAATGGTGTTTGTAATGCTTGCTATTTTGCAAAATCTCATATTACACTTTCCCATATTCACTACAACATATATGATCGGTCATTCCAACTAATGATGCTTCAGTCTGATGGAGGAAAAATGGTTCCTTACCAAATATATATTGTGGGCTTATACATAGGTTTTTATATATTGCGTTGCGCCCAATACTTGTTAGCAAAATGTGTATTTGATTTTTAATGTGTTTTATTTTCATGTTGAACTATTTTTATTTCTTTTGGGACGATTGAAGTTGGGCATACGACATTTGCCTTTTTCTTTTTTTATCTGTCTTGTTTGTGTTTATGGTGTTTCTTCAAGAAATGGACTCAAGTGAGCCAATATGGTTATTGTTGCTTTTTAAACCTATGAATATCTACTTCCATTCTATTCTATTCTGAAATGGATATTCCAAAATACAACTTTTAGAGTTCAGAATACTCGTTCAAACAAAATATCTTACAATATATACGTAGTTTAAATACATATGATTATTAAGTTACTGCTGGAAATACATATGAAGTCATTATTCTGGCACATGCAACGGACAACATTTAACAAAGTATATCCATGTCCAAACAAAGCACAATGCAGCGCTCTTAGCGGCCTGCTAATGCAAATGAGTAGTTTTACTTGGGGCAACCGGGCCACTTAACGAACTTGGGAGAAAGGGTTTTGAGAACAGGATTTCTGTCGAAGAAATTGGTTGGCCTGAGCTCGAATGCAGTGCTCAACAATGGCATTATGGGGAAGTCTTCCTGAGCTGGAACGTGATGAATTCCCACAACGTGCCATAGCACAATGTCCTTGTTCTCTATGCCTCTGTTCCTGCAATTATTTTACGTAAACAAATACCTACAATCATCCTCCATATCTTCAAAATGAATTACGAAAGTAACTACAACTATTGCATGCACTTCAAAAATAGTAAGAAAAAAAGAATCATACTTTTTGGTCCAAACGGCTAAAGTATCTTCGCCATGACTGTGATCAACGTAGAGCCCACCGGCCCACTTCTCAGTCCGATTGTATGGAGTGACCCACACATTAAACTCTGTGAAAGCGCCACGTATTTGTGGATAATCATCATCCGTCAGAAGAGGATGAGCTGGGATTGCTGGAATCAAACGGTACCCCACGTCGTTTCCAACGGCGGTCTTCTTGTTAGGGTTCACCACTGAAAGCTCACCGGGTGCGTTCCCAATTATGATCTTTGCATCGTTCTCGCTCTTAGCAGTTTCGGTCTCCGTTGTCCAATAGCTTTTCCTCTTGGAGCTTCCATCTGTCACTCTCACAGTCTTCAAACTTGTCTTCTCAAACGAGTTTTGTTCGCCATCAATGTCAAGGTCAAGATAGTATATGTAGAAGTGGTCGTGGTAGACACCAATGCTGTTTGCTGATACCAGGATACCATGTTGATCACTCTTTATCTCATCCTTGTGCTTGATATCCACTCCCTTTATTTCCAATATACCAGACAGGGCAATCTGTAATACGTACAAGTATGTCGAATGAGATTGATTAGGTTAGATGAGGTTAGGTTATTGGACTAGCCATCTAGCACTCACAGCCAGGCAAAACATACAATACGTCAAGTGAGGCTCATTTCTGTATTTCTTTATTCCAAAAACATGTATTTATATTTATAATTAAGTATGTAATACATTATTTCACTTGGAAAAAAATTTGTTCTTGGACTCTGGTAAACATTGCCATCCGTCACAATGTCCCTTGGGGTTCGTAAGTGAACCACGCGGTGTCCATACCTTCGGACGGTCCAAAAAAGTAATGGATCTTGGTGGATCATTTTCTAATAAATAACATTCCGTAAAGAATAATCAAAACTATAACATATGTATAATTTTTTTATGTTTAAATAACAAGATTGTAAAATTTATTATTTGTATTATGGTTTTAAATAAATTAAATTTGTTATATTCATGGGTGATTATATTTTGATAACTAGTTTGTCAAAAGCACCTATTTGACAATTTAATATAATAATAGATATAATTATTATATTATTATATTTATTTTTTATGAATGGTTGTTAACTTATCATTTTTCAGTGATTATATATAAATGTGTAATAGTAAACATATGCATGTAGCTATAGGAAATGATGCATACCGCGGGTTTGATTGAGCCACTTGTCTTAAACTCCCAGTCAACGATGTTGTCGTAGTTGCCAACAGTAACAACAGTTCTTACAATCAAGTTCACTTCCGTTCTGGTTTCTGCGAACTGTCAAAGACCAACACACAAACGTAAATATTTAAATTTAATTGAATGGGCATGTTAATGTGTACTGGTAGGGAGGACTATGTTTATATACCGATTCATTGGGAATTCCAGTTTCGGTGTGACGCCACAGGATGCTGCCATATTGTTCAAACACACACACGGCGTTGGGAATGGGCACGGGAGTGCCAGAAGCATCGTGAACATATGCGTCAAGGAATTCAGCATTGGATGGGCAATCAAGGTTGGGCACCAATGAGACAGTGGAGAGACCGAACCCAAACTCTCCAGCATCAAAGAATGTCTTGTAGTAAAAGTCATCTGTTGGGTCTTGGTATGGCACGAACAGCTCAGAAATGTACCCTTTGTATAACACTCTGCGAGACTTGTGCTTCTCCAAATCGTAAATGGAGGCCAGTGATATCACGAGTCCGGCTCGTGGATCGAATCCAATGTGGAACTTCCAGTTAGCCCAGCTGAACAAATTAATTCAATCAAAATTTCAAAACAATATACTATATGTAACCAATGCAATGTTAAACAGTAATAGATAAAAAATAAGGAAATAAGAACATAACTTACCTAACACTGTGGCCACTGATTTGAAATCCAGGACCCTGTGGCTGATGGGTTGTTAGACTGTGTTGTTTTGGACCGAATGGTGGCTTCTGGTGCGATAAGCGGTATTCAGTGTTATCAGCGGTTGGTACTGGTATAATACCACTGTCGTGGTACTCAATGATCTTCATGAGCTCAAGATCAACCACTATTGTGAGTCCACTAATAGGCCTCACCCAGATATTGGGGCTGCTTTCTTTCATGAAGCATTCCACCCTCACTGTCCTTCTGTTCTGGGTTTCTCCAAACCACCCGGAGGTGAAGACAGAGCACACCACCTCTGAGAGGTTCAACCCTCTCTTCTTCACTGAGTCGATGAATGGACCGTATTTCAGTGGCAGCTCTACGGCAAGGGCTTGTTCATCCACGGATAGGGTGGGGAACCCGTTTCCTTGGTGAATGTTGTCTGAGAGAATGCGGTTTGCCGTGAGATCAATTAGGATCTCGTGGGTTTGGCTGTTGATGATGGCAATGGCCAAGGCCTTGCGAGGGACAGTTGTGATGGTTGGTTTGACGGATTCCCATTTGAGGATGTCATCCTTCTCAGGGTCATCAAGGCCAATGTAGTGGAAGCTCAACCTGTTGCTTGAGGTTGGGTACTTCTTCTGGACTATGGTTTGGACAAGAGTAATCTCTTCTTTGGTCAAAGGGTCTAGTGGATGCTGAAAACGCAGTGGGGTGACGGACATCACTGCTTGGAAGGAGAAGAGCATGAGAGCAGAGAAAAGAACAAGTTTCATGGTGGAAACCATGATGAAGATGAAGCCCTAGCTTGGTGTGTGCAATGGAAGATCTCCCTTAAGCCCTTAAATACACGCTTTCTCCTACCCTATCTCTTCCTTTTAGCCAATTATTTAATATATCCAATAGAACTTCTCGTGTTCACTCCACCAGATATTACACGTGAATTGTTTATATGTTAAGCCATCTTTTAACCAATATACATTGTAGCTTAATATTTTAGGCTAATTTAATACACATCGATACTTCTTTAACAATTTTTTTCAACAAAACACAACATTGCTGAGAAAAATCATAACAGCCTTGTTGAAAGTTATTATGTTTACCCTTTGACTTCTTCAATTGGCATTAGATTTTTAATGAACTTGAGGAGAGTTACTTTCTTTATCAATCCCTCTATTTATTTTCTTCTTTATTTTGAGGTTTTTTATATAATCCTTTTAACTTCAGCAGGCCGCATATTCTTGGCGCATCTACTTCTGAATCATATTTGTTTGATCATATATATACAAATAATATTCAAGATTTATGAAGCAGCTGCTATTATGTCGTTAACGTCAAAATTAGTTTTCGTTATAAAATTTTATTGAACATTTAATTGTAAAATAAATCATGTTGTTGTCTTACTGATTTAGCAAACATTTTCTATGTTTAATGATGATCCACGAGGGGTTAATTTTATTGATAAATTGATTTTTCTTCCTTTAGTTTTCTATTTCATGCCATCTGTATATCTCTACAATGTAATATAATTTAAACGAAACCACAGGATTTTGCTGAAAATCGAACTTTAAGTCTTTGCATTGTACACGAATAAATAATCAATTAAGTTTTAAACGAAACAAATTTTGGTAGAGAACTAAAGCACTTTTGCAAGGAGATATAGTTTCTTAGGGGTTTAACTTCTAATATGGACTTCTAAAATTATCTGCACATATATGATATATTAACCTTTGCTTGCTTGGTTCAATGAGTGAATCGTACCATGAACCAGAGGTGAAAATTAAAATTGTAGTTTCAATTTTGATGGAATGGATGATGAACACATGGATACAATACAAGGTCTATATATTTTGATGGAAATGGATTCCAAAATTTTAATATCCTTTTAAATTTTATACATAAAAAATATGTTATGACTTTTTCATTTGGAAGAAAACATGTATTGGTCCCCACTTTTAATTCTTTAGGGCAAAATGATGTTTGCTTATGTAACATATTAAATATAAATATATCATTACTTATATATAAAAAGATAATTTTAATCCAATAAATATATTCATGTTTGGTGTCCTGTCAAAAAGTAGAGAGAGATCTAGAAAACTTGTTGTATAGGATACACAATTCTTTTTTTTCATTCACACTCATATAATTTAATTTAATGTAAATCATGCTTGAACAGCTTGGATATGAGAAATGGGATAAGATAGTTTAAAGTTTGAATGGGTTCCACAAATAAAAATATTTTCTTTCCACAGTATTTCACTGCCTCACTGCCCCAAACGATTCATATGAATTATGCATATTTTAAAACTAAGAAAATTAAATATTTAGTAAACACATGATTCAAATAAATAAGGAATACATAAAACTAATAAAAATAGAAAATATGATATTGATAAGAGATATTACATTTAAGAATGAAATATCATATTTATAATATGGAAATTGATGTTTATTTTACAATCATGCTCATTTATCTATGTATGCCGCAATTTTATGATATGAAAGATAAATAATTCATTATAATTGTTGTACCTAATCTCTTAGTTCCTTAATTAATTTTTTTTATATACACGTATTCAAAACACGATCCTCCAAAATCAAACGGGACAACAAAAATAATCTCATTTTTATAAGCTGATCTTATCTGAAGTGATTGAGAAATTTAGTTTTTTATTAAATAAAAAATTGTTCTTTTATTAAAACATAGTTGAATTGACTTCTAACTAAATTTTGAACCACTTTTAACTTTTTTTTTTCAGAAAATAGTTAGTAATTTTTTATTTTTAGTTGTAAATAACAAAATATTTGACGCCACTTATGTTTATGAAGATATATATGTACATATTTGTTTATTATTGTATTCATCCGCTTCTATTTTTATTATCATTGTTAAATACTATCATAGTGATAATTATAATTACAATAAAAAAAAGACATTATTATTTATTAAATATACTATCATTATTATTATGATGATTACCATGGAAACACATATTATTGTGTGTTTATATTAATTTTTCTTTTCAATCTTTAAATATATCCATTTATTTCATATTTTTAAAATATAAATCATAATAATTGATTTTTATTTAAACTATAATACTTTTTTATGGCACCAAAAAAGAGTATTTATAAAATAAATCTCTTTTACATGATAACTATTAAAATATTTGTGTGTTAATTTTTTTTATAATTATGTATGATTATAGATTATCATCATTAATAATGGCATTTTATTATTATTATTATTATTATTATTATTATTATTATTATTATTTATTATTATTATTATTATTATTATTATTAACATGTATTGTTATTAGTATTTTGTTTTTACAAGTTGATGATGACAACATAACTTAGGTTTGTTAATTGTTATTATATTTTTATACTAATATTATTTAATTTGATGATTTTTCAGCTAAAATTAGAAAATAGATCATGTGAAAGTAAAAAAAAAAAAACTAAACTATAAATAAATTCTAGAAGCAAGTTCAAGTTTAATATTTTTTTAAATAAATAAAAGTAAAAAAAACTTTAAATTAAACTAATTTATTACACTACAAGAAATTTCTTATTTACCGACGGATATAGAGTCGTTGAAAAATGAGTAATTACCGATAAAAATTACCGACGGATTTAAGGTAGTTGTGAAATTTGGTTTTACCAACGGATATATCCTTCGATAAATGAACTATTAATTACTGACGGATATATCCGTCGGTAAATTAACAATTAGTAACCGACAGATATATACCCATCAAAAAATGAGTAATTACCGACGGACGTTATAGACGAATTTTTGAAATGTGGTCTTACCATCAGTCAATTAATAACTAGTAAAATTATTTCTCTCCTTATTTTCCTAATTCCCTTCTAGCAACCTCCAAATTCACGTGTCGCACCACCTTATCACGCTCACAACCACTCACCATCAGTCATAACCCTTCCGCGACGCCTATCACCTCCACCGCCACTACCAGTCTCAGCTCCCAACTCTCATCATCTCCTTCACCAACCTCACTTACTCTAGCCCAACACCCTCCCCAAAAATCACTCCAACCCCCATCTTCCTCCCTCGAACTCTACTCACCTTTTCTTTATAGTGTTATAATAATTTTTTTTTTTTTCAAGTCGAGAGATCAAGCTCAAACTCTTTTTGTTTATAATATATATAAACCGATATAATCTTTTAAGTTTAAAATATTTGTAAAATATGTATATTTTAAAATATTTTCAATTCAAATAATACTATTAAAAATTGCATGTCAACAAAAACCCTATTCGGTTATCAATATATTCAAATTCTTTTAACTAATTTTTTAATTTAAGTTAATTTAAAGAAACAACAAAATTAATTTTAATGGCTTACTTTGTCTTATTCATCAACTTAATTACCATAAACAGGAAAGGACATGCCAATACTTTTAGCTCCTCAATACTTTATGGGTTAGCTCATCCCAAACTTATTTTTTAATGGACTAATTACAAAATTAGTAAAAATTAAAGATGAAATGGCGCATTTTATATCTATTATTAACTGCTCTATTACTATTATCAGTAATAGATAATTAGATAGGTTAATCATTTGGGTCCACCAAATGAAATGGAGTACACGTTTTGATTGCCCTTACTTAAACCTAGGTTAACGAGTAGACCAGAAAACAATCAAAATGAAAATAGTTAAAAAAAAAAGGTAAATAAATTAATTTAATTACAAAATTAAAGTATATTAATAATTAAAATAAATATTAAATATTTTTATTTTAAAAATTGATAATTTACACCCCAAATTAACAAATTAAATAACTTAATTCAACTCATCATTTGGCCACCGACTTGGTTGTCGAACCCCAACCCCTTCACCATCTCTAATCATCAACATCGTTTTTATAAACAATATGTATCACGTGAAATTATTCAATGATTCATCATTCTTTTTGGCATCATATATACTATATATAAACACTATATATGTGATCGTTATCATCCTGTTTTACATATTTATTTTCATTAATGTTACTTTTAGAATATTATTTTTTTCAATCGTTCATGTTCCGATCTTGAAATGCACATGAACGAAGAAATCGAAACGATTTAAAATTCAAAACTTGCAGCAACTACAAGTACACTTCAGCAAGCCTTTTATTTTTATTGAATAATTTAAACGTGAGTTTAATCTCATATGGAATAAAAATGAAAAAATTGAATAATATATAAATTTTTTATTAAATAATTTAAACGTAAGTTTAATTTTATATCAAATAAAAAAAATGAATAACATATAAACAAATAAGTACGACTCATAACTAATATTTTAATAACTTGAGAGTGATATTATTTGAAACGTACCCAAATAATTTTACGATCATTTCTTAAATATAAAATTCAAATATTATTTATGTAGTCACTTAGCATGTGCACAAAAGAGTTTATTATATCAGACAGTGCCAACTAAATTTAGATAGCAAAGCTTTTTGGCACTGATTCGATGAATATATCATATAATACAATCCAATTATTAATCTTTTTTATGTTATAACTTTTTGAAAACATAAAAAATAAAATATTTAATTGATGTACTTTGATGACATTAAATATGTCAATATTTACAGAAAACATTGATTGAAAATATGTCGTGTCATTGACTAATAGGTTTACTAATGTAAGCTTGTTCTTGTAGTATGTACATTGAGTGTTATATATTTTTTTGATAATTAATTTGACTTTTAATAACCAAAATGTATTACACCAGTTTTATACGATAAAAAAAAATGAGTTGTGT